AAAAAAAACCCCCCCCCCCCCCCCCCCAAGATTTGAAAGTATCTTGTCCCCTTTTTGGTCCTTTGGGTCAGATGCCAGCCAGGTTACCTGAGCTTCTTCACCCTTTACAGGGAAAAGGATTTTGGAGTCTCGGGCCAGGAGGGATTTTATAGTACTATACACAGGACAGCTGTTACACCCTTCCCTTTATAGTTATGACAGGCCCCAAAGTGCTAGGGTGTCATACAAAGGGATAGCAAGCAAGAGAGCGTCCCTGCCCCAAAATACTTACCATCCTAGGCACCAATCGTAGACTGAGAATGGAGGGACTCTAACCCTACCCCCCATTTTAGGGGGGTTTTTTGGGGACAAAGTTTCTGAGGAAAGCAGCCACTTTCTGTGAAAATCTTTGCTTAGCTGAAAATCCATGGAAAGTGTTTGACCAGCTGAAGTGTGGATTAAACACACACAAGGGGCTTTGACTGAGAGGGTGAGGGAGACTTTCTGTCTGAACTCAAAATTCAAACTGGGCTAAAGGGAAGGACTTCATGTCAGGTGGCGTGGCTAGGATAGTTATAATAGACACCATTAAAGTGGTTTATATAGAAACAAAGGAAAATATGCTAAAAGATCACACTCTAAACATAAGATCAGTTAAAAAATCAACTGTGGAGTCTGGGGAAGTAGGGAGAAGGAAAGATGATGGTTGTGTGACAGTGTGAGTGATAGAACTCCAGAACCTTCCCTTGAGGAAACTGGGAGAAAACTCCATTCATGCTATAAGAGTGAGAGTAAATGGAGGAAAATCTGGTTCTAATTATTTTCCCTTCTGGCATTTATCCCATACAAGTGTAATGCTCATTGGAGAGATGACCTAAAACACAACGGACTGCTTTACCTGATAGACAACATCTCAAGGGTAGAGCTGTTCAAAATATTAAATGAAACGTTCATGAAAATGTTTGCAACATTTTGACAAAAAATGTTCAATTTCTATTTTTATGTTTTGAACAGCTCTAATTACACCTCTACCCCAATATAACACACATTTTGGATATCACACGGTAAAGCAGCGCTCGGGGGGGGGGCGGGGCTGCACATTCCGGCGGATCAAAGCAAGTTCAATATAACGCGGTTTCACCTATAACACAGTAAGATTTTTTTGGCTCCCGAGGACAGTGTTATATCGAGGTAGAGGTAGATATGTAAAGCTTTAACCAAGCAAAGAGTGCAATTTACTGTCCTGGATAAGCTGATGATACTTGGTATAACTTTTGCATCATAATATTATTTACTTCCTGGTCCTGGCCCCATTGCAAAATCCTAGATGTGCTCAAAAGTTGTATTGTCAACTTTTATAAACAACCTGTTTTCAGGAGGAAGTTAATAGGTACATATATCAAGCCTGATGACACCACTTGTGTTATGTGATGTAGAAAAGAATATCTCTTTTTTAGAATTCTCCTCAAATAGGTGTGGTGTTTGTATCCAGACAAGACAAGTGGGACACTGTAAAATCATTCCAGAACAAAGGACACTCATAAATCTCTATCACCTGTTCATTTCTTATGGGAACAAATTTATTCCTCTTCCATTTGTCATGATAATCTCAAACCTATCATAAATCTAAATCTAATGATATTCTCTGTTCTCACATTGTATTATTTGGTGTTGTAATTACGATGGAATGATTGCTTTTTACTGATGCCTTATACCAAACTAATGTAATAGAAAATATACCAAAATTATTCTGTAAACACATAATAAACACTAGGTATGCTTTAGTACAATAATACAGAACCCTGTGAATTTCTCTTAAAGATCCAGATGTTCTTATTGCTTAATTTGCATGGCATTTTATATTTAATTGCTTGTTTCAAGAAGGATATAAAACTACTGCTCTCTCCTTCTCGCATAACTTTTTAATGCAATACGTAGCAGAAATACCTACTGTGATGGGTTGGATCACAGAAACCCTCTTGGGAGCTGCCACCCGATGTGCCAAGACTACTTTTGCCCCTGCCTTCCCTGCCAGCTCAGGACCCCAATACCCTGTCTTGCTGAGCCAGACACTGCCGTCTGCTCCAACAAAGACCCAGGATCGGAATTACTTGCCCCAAAGCTGCAGGTTTACCTGAAAGCAACTAACAGAAGTGTTCCTGTCTTTAACGCTCAGATGCCCAACTCCCAATGGGGTCTAAACCCAAATAAATCCGTTTTACCCTGTATAAAGCTTAGGTCTCCCACGGGCTTAAATAGACTTTCTTTTTGTGGGTGGAGACCCCCTCCCCTCTCCTGTGCAAAGTCCAACTCCAAGATGGAGTTTTGGAGTCACCTGGGCAAGTCACATGGCCATGCATGACTGAGTTCCTTACCAGCCAAGCCACATTCCTGGGAAAGCCTAGATGTGTATTGGTGTCTCCAAATTCATTGGGACAGCTCAGTGGTTTGAGCATTGGCCTGCTAAACCCAGGGTTGTGAGCTCAATCCTTGAGAGGGCCACTTAAGGATCTGGGGCATAATCAGTACTTGGTCCTGCTAGTGAAGGCAGGGGCTGGACTCTATGACCTTTTAAGGTCCCTTCCAGTTCTAGGAGATAGGATATCTCCATTAATTTATTGTTGGCTTAAAAGTTTCCGGACTGGGCACTTACTAAGAATAGTCTTTTCTCAGGGAGCAGACCAACTGCTTCACTACAGCCTACTTAGAATCAAACAACTCATAACTCATAACTTCGAATACAAAACTGATACATGCATGCAACTAGGATTAATACATTCAGTAGATCATAACCTTTACGGAGATATGTTACCTGGCATATGTAGCATAAAACACATTCGAAGCATATTTCCATAAAGCCTTATGGGAGGTACCTCACACCTACCTCAGGGTTTCATTGTTTACATTAGTATGTTCCATGGGGAAGTGGTAGATTTTCTCTCCGATAGGAGGAAGAATAGCCTTCTGGCTAATGCACAAGATACCGAGTCCAGTCATGTCTGTTTTTTTTTTTCTGGGCCTGCCACAAAAGTATTGTGTTATTTTGGTGTGGGCCCTATATAAATTCCCAGTGGGCATAACTGGAATGTTTCCTTTGACTTCAATGGAGGATGAATTGGCCTTATCTTGCAGTCCTTTGCTCACCAAAGTCATCACTAGTGCCATATGTAGTAATGCTACGTAGCCACATGCTTTCCCTTTGTATTTATTTCATTCTGGTGTGATTTCTCCAAATTTCCTCAGAATCTGTACAGCACAGCTGTAGTCAGGCAGCTATAAAATATACATATAGAATAAATGGAAGTCCCCAATTAAGGCCAAGAAGGATTATGATAATCTACTTTGTTAAGCAGGAAGTAAAAGACCATAGAACTTCTCCCCACCCCCAGCTATTCCAGCACAGAGCTCTGAACTTGACATTGCGTATATTTAGAAAGAAATCCTAGCCTGATTTTAGAGACCTCAAGAGGTGTGGAAGAGTCTCTGGTGAAATCCTGCCTCCACTGAAATCTATGGCTAGGGTGACCAGATGTCCCATTTTTAAAGGGACAGTCCCATATATAGGCGCCTATTACCCCCCATCTCCTGTCCCATTTTTCCCCCACAGTTGCTATCTGGTAACCCTATCTATGGCAAAACTTTAGTTGATTTCAAGGGGAGCAGATTTTCACCATCCATCTCTTACTCAGCTCTTCTAATCAATCAACAGTTTCCCAGGAGTTCAAAAACTAGCTTGGTCATGTTTACATGAGCTGCAATCATGCGCACAAGCTGGAGGTCATCTTCAGCTACTATTGCTCCTATCAGAACAAGGTTTTGTTCAAATCTCACTGCTTCTGCAATATATCAATAATTCAAACCTCCTCCTGCACCCTAGCTTTCCATTTAGATATGCACACTTCCCACGCCAGTGAAGAGAAGGAAATGAACCACTCTCACGAGGAGTACTGACAAGCAAATATCACCAGCACATTATGATTACTATGCCTGCTTCTCCAGCTCTGATATTTTGGTAGGTTGTTCTGTTAAATTCCATTCATGGTGTTAATTTCATAGTTTGCCTTTAAAACTAGTTTAAAGGTGAATGAGAGGACAATGAGGCTGAAGCCAAGAATTTTGGGATGTCTTCTTCCCTAAGTCAAGTGCATTCTCAGCCAGATGTTCTGCGATTACAAATTGGCCAGCCAGGAAGCATGGACCGCTCTCAAACTGGCTAACTTATATAGCACAAAAAAGCCATTTATCCAGTGATGCTCCTAGAAGGAACAGAAAATAGTAAAATGCATTCCTTTTTAGCACCGTGCTAAGCCTAAGTTCACTGCATAAATCCATGTAAATCAGTGTAGTAATGGTAAGACCAGGGCAAAATGTTATGCTAGCTTGCAGCCATAAATGTTTCAACAGAACTTTAAATAGAAACCATTTCAAGGGATGGCTGATATAACTGGATGTGAAGATGGTTTTACGAGTTGGGCTCTTCTGATTTATGCTTTTTAAAAGCCATTGTTCTCCAGCTACAGAAAAGTTTTGCAAAGGACACATACAGCTAGATTTATGCCCGCTTCAAGTCTGGACATATCCCCATTGTGTAAGGTTCTAATTACCGGTAATTAAAAGTAGGTGCAAAACTAGTATAAGACCAAGGAGACCACTTGTATCCTTCCTGTGAATCTGTGCAAGTTGGCACCCAGTGCTACAGGTTACATACATGTAACTCTCTGTACAGCAGCATTAGTGAATATCTCCACTCCAGTCATGGGATGTAAACATAACAGAGCTAGTTTTGGGTCCCAGAACACTGAAGCCACAGTAGCACAGGCAAGCCCCACAAGTAATTACCCAGGATTCCAGGCAAACTTGTACAACCCATACTGATGCATGCGCTGCTGCAGCTAGACGGCTCTGGTATCTGAACTAGCTGGATTAAAGCTAACTAGGAAGTGTCTACAAGAGCTGCCTGATTTCAGTATAGCCATATCTTCAGTCCATTAGCCGAACATCTGCTCCCCTTGTTATTTCCTATCATTTTTGCCAAAACTACATAAGGGGCTTATGTATGAAATGAACTCAGCACAAAATAGAAATGACTAAGTCTTAACCCCAAAGGGGAGCATGCAAGAACAACAACAGGTGAATAAGCAAAATGCAGCAACTTCAGCCTGTGTGTTTGGGGAACAAACAAATGCAGCTCCCATGTCAGGAATTGGCTCCCCTTGGTTTAAGTCCAAATCCACATCAAAACCTGATTCAGAATGAGGTTAGTTATCAATTCTGAAAAGTAACTTCAGACTCTGGCCCTGATTTTCAGAGATGAAGAGCTCCTATTGTAGACAATGGAAGGTGCTCAGTATTAGAGCTGGTCAGGAATTTTCTGACAAAGGGTTCTTGGCAGAAAATACAGGTTCATCAAAACTGAAATGGCTCGTGGGAAAGGGTCAGTTTCAATTAAGCTCCTGATTGGAAGAAAAAAAATTCAAAATGTCACATTTTGACATTTGCAAAATTACAACTTTCATTTTTTGTTTCAAAATTACTTTGTTTTAAAGCTTTAGTGAATTTATATTTTTAAAAGCTGAAATTGAAACAAAACATTTTGATTGACTTGATTTTGAATTTTTTTGGATTATTGGTTCAAGAAAACTTTTGAGATATTGACTTTTCGGCCTGATTCGAGAGGGAACATTTTTTGAAAACTCAAGCTCTCTCAGTACAGCTTCGCAGAAAGCACACTAGTAATGCTGCATACTGATCTATTTAATGGCAAGTTAGACCCCAAAAAGACTGGTGGGGTATTCACAGCTGTTTCTAGCTTTGTAGTTGTTCTACCTTCTTATTACATTGAGTCAACTTGTGTAGGAAGAAATGAGCGTTCATATAAGTTTGCACAATTGCAACACTATCAGAGAGAGCCATGTTAAACACAACACCTACTGCATGCCTTATGAAACCATTACAATTAACTATAGACAGCTAGAATAAGAATTCAATGAACTTCCAAATGTTCTCACAGCCCCTTCAAGAGAAAATATAATTAAACCATGCAATAATTTACAATTAAGCACAAGAAAATCAAATATGCAGCTACAATACTAAACGCGAGTTGTTAAATTCTTCAACATAAAATTCTTTTTCTCTTAATTAATAATCTCAGTTTGTTATATATTAAAGTTGAACAAGTGATGGTAGGACATACAGTTTCTCTTTAAAAGGAGCAATTTTGAGCACTGAATCATCAAATTCTCTTGAGTACAACTTTTCACAAACCTTAACTTGTTATTCCCCCTTCTTGTTACCATAACTATCAGTATTAAAAGAAAGGCAACCTCCCCCCATGTGTGGTATGTTTCTCCAGTCTGCTATTGACAACTCATTAACATACAGGTTATACAACATCCTTTGCCACCCTTTGATACTCCCATCCTGAGCCATGCTCATACTTCTCATTTATGAAGTTAATTTACTGAGGTTAAATGATACCGTATATTTTACTGCATTTTCTCACTGCAAACACAAGACGTGTCAGGCCTCCCAGGGAAGAGAGGAACTCTCTCTCTCACATATGCTGTAAACGAAGGGGATTGCATTGGCATCCCTGCTGATTGCTGGCTTGTGGAAAGAACTCCAATCAGTGGTTAGCCATAACAGCATCCCAGCCGTTTTGGAAACGGCTTATCTAAATAGAGATGTACAGAAGGCAGTTTTCTCCCTAATACTGATGCATTTTCAATTTATGCAATACAAAGTGCATTGGTCTGCAGTGTCCCTTGCTACCGATGATTAATAGCCCATACACTGCAAGGGTCTACAAAGAAAAGTGCCAAGGGAAGCAGATGCAGCGGGTTTTATATTATCATGACTGCAACAAACTCATTCAGTGGTGTCAGCTATGACTGTGGGATTCTGATTATGAAATATGATGCGTGTTGAATTTAATGGCTTTCTCTGCCCTTCTGGTGAGTTCACTGCTTTCCAATGTCATTTTGTGTTCTCATCTGAGTGGTAATAAAAGGAATATCATTGACTGTGCTAGCTCTGTAACCACTGTGTGTTTTACAATAAATTGTGTTTCAGGACCTTTCTACCCAGGAGAGCGTACAGGGCCAGAACGCAATATTCCCCAGCTTTGCTATGTGAGTGCTTTCTGTGAGAAGGTAGGAAATTATGCAGGGCTGCCCTTCTGAGGCATTCCTTATGTGAGCAGGACAGTCGTTTTTTTTTCTAATGGTTAGGTAGTAAAAGGTCAGTTTGGATTGCAAATAATAAAAAATAAAAGATAAACAGCAGCTACACAGCAGGAATTATTACATTGTGATGACAAGGGGATAAAAACTGATCAAAATAAAACTTCTAATAAGCAGCTTAGACATCTGGAACTGCATGACACGGTGGAAATGTGGAGGGGATGGAATTCTGACATTTTGGTTCTATACTGGCACTGTAGGTGAGATAATTAACATGTCAGGGCCAACAAGTAGTTTTAAAAGGGGGTCCGGACCGTAGAGCTGAGGCCTTACCTATATTTTGAAAGGTTTAGCTATAGCAGCAAACCCTTCTAGTGTAAACCCAGCTTAAACCAGCAAAAAAGTACTGAGTGAAATAAGCTATCCCAGAAAAAGTACTTTTATGCCCATGTAATTGTCTACTCTAGGGTTTTGGCCAGTATAAAAATATCATAATAAAAATCACAGACATTACTACACTGGCAAAAGTTTGTAGTGTAGACCTAGTCTAACCTACTGAGATGAGAACAGAGATGGAAAAAAAGGCCTCTAATGGGGTTGCGTGTTTGAGTGGATTCTGATATTTTCACTCTCACTGGTCCAATCTGAAGCACTTCCAATTAATTCCAATCTGATTACAGTGGAAATTCTAGAAGGCTCAGCCATGCACAGGACTGGGCACCTTATTACTGAACGGGGTAGTGCTGACAAGGATGAATAGACAGCAAACCCCTTGAGTCCCTCGGATAAAAGGCAATGCAGAAGTGCAAAGTGTCATAACACACTTATAAGAACTTCCCACTTCTGTCTATGCTGCAAGCTGTGGCCACTTGGAACTTCATGACACCAGAGGGTTAGAACTCTGATTCTCTTGCTCCAAATTCACATCCACTGCTACTTGGGCTGCTTCACCGTGAAACTTAATGGATATTGTATTTACCTGTATAACTTTGGTCCATCTTAGTCTTAGTTAAAAGGCCTTTTTACAAAGAATCTAGAAATTGACTTGCCTCTTTCAGGATAATACAGGAAATTTTTCCTTTCTCTCTAGTTGGAATGCCACTGCTATTCTCTATCATATTGTATGTATGAATACTTAAAAAGCTTAGCCTAAAGGACAAATGAGAATTTTCTTTTGTCCTTTCAGACTACACTTCATATATTTTCACATGAAAACGTATTTTAACAAGATTTAAAACCATTATATGTTTTATCAAGGCCTTTCCCTCGAGGGGGAATGGAAGCACATTAACATTTAACATGGTGGCTCTGCCTCTTCCCCCGCTTCCTCCATCCCTTCATTGTTTGCTGAAAAACTTGCACTGTTGAAAGGTAAAAACATCAGCCAGAAATCTCTGATCTGCCACAAACCGAAGTTATGAATTGGGGAAATAAAAGCAGGGCATTGTGGACCCCTTTGGATTTTGCCTTCCAAATTGTGGGAGAGGCGGAAGAAAAAGTTCTAAGAACAAAGCGATGAGCTTGAATATGGGATTGGGCTGCCTCCTTTTAAGCCTGCTGACCTGCTCTTGTGATCCTCTCAGTATGCAGGAGCAAGGAAGGATCTCTTGAAGGTCTGGCTGCAAACAGCCCAGAAATGAAGGCAACAAACCAGTTCTGAGGTGCAAAGCACCGTTGCCACTAACTGCTTTCAAAGGTGCTCTACGCTTCTGAGAATCAGCAAAAGGAGCGGAGGTTATTTGGAGCCCATAAAGAAGCAGCTAGCAATGATGGGCCATCCCTGAGTATTCTGCTATAAAAAATGGTCTTTTTTATGAATGCTGAGGCTGGCTTAGGGCTGAGAAGAACCATTTCAAGGGGACGTGAAATGCCAAGTGCTACCTTGAATGCACAGTGAAAATGAGAGATGGCAAAGCCAAGACATTAGTGACAAGGGGGTAAATAAAAAGCCTCAGTGTTAGCAAAGGCAGATGCAAGTTTTTCTGGCTGCTAGGGTTCCTAACCAGAATTAAAAATCAACGCTTGTAACATTCCTGTTTTGGGTGAGGTTTCAGCATCCCTTACTCGTATCCCAGCATACAAGTGGTGGGTGAGAACCCAAGACGAAGTCCTGTCAATGCAACTGGAAGTGGGTGGGAGTTGGGGATGCTCTACTTTTTTGTATGTCTGTTTCAAGGAAAGTTCAAAGCTGTGACTCTGGCCCTGGTCCAGGAAAGATGAAGCAGCTGCTTATGGTCCATTGACTTAAATGGGATTGACGCACATGCTTAGCTGTAGGACTGTGAGTAATCCCATCCCTGTTCAGCAAAGGAAACAAGCATTTGCTTGCATGCTTTTCTGAACTGAGGTCTCTATTCTGACCCTTGAACCCAGACTTCATTACCAATCATGTTCAGCATTTTCCACAGCAAGTTATGACTACCTTGGAATGGACAACCTGGGAGTTCCCCATGCTATTATACATCATTTCTTAAACCTTTCACTTGTCATATGATAAATCAACATTTGTAATGATCTCATTCATTTCCAGGGATCCTGCAGTTTCAAATTAGCTCAACCTCACTCTCTTCAGACTTCCGCACTGGTCATTCACAAAGACTCACTGATTGTCAACAAGTTCTCATCAGGCTGAGTTAAAACCCATCAGCCCTGATGACACCGTCATACCAGCATTCTGATCAATCTTAAATCTAAAATGCTAGATTACTGTTTTTCTACTTGTTTGTTGAGATATTTTTGGCACCTACCATGTCTGTCCAAGGCATGGTTTTCTCTCTCTCTTTTAAGGCCTCATTGGAAACTGAAAGGTTATGGTAGGGTAGGAAGGAATTCCATTTACTGTATTGTAGCTCATCAACCTAAAACAGAAAAAAAAATATTTCTTCCTTGGAGTCTGTATTTACCTCAGATGTTAAACTAAAATTGAAAACCTCATTTAGTACGACATGTTTATTCTTTAAGCAGTATTCAGAAAGTGCTCTCAATTCATAATATTATGGACATAATACTACTAAACATTTACACAGCATTTTCACAGGTAGATGCTTTAGAAAGGTGAATAAGCAGTAGTTACAGCTGAGTGTCAGAGGGGAGTTAGAGCCGGGAATAGAACCCATGTCCTTTCCTTCCATCCCATTTCAACTCTGTCATGATATGGCGCTGTTATAACAGCACAGATGCGTCCAATCTGGCTGGCTGAACTATATTAAAGAGCAGTTTTAACTAAAATGATGATCAAACACACTTCTAAAAATGGTTAAAAGGCCAGCCTAGATAGCTCATAACCAGAGCATGGCGGGGAGGGGAGAAAGATTAATGTACTTGGCGTTTTCCCTTAGTATGCATGAAAGCCAGCACAAAGGCACTAATAATCTCTTCAAGCAGAGTATATTTTCCCTTGGGGATAATAGCTCAAGGATAGAAAGAGAATTTTGATATTATATAGGGACATTATCTCTTTTATATGAAAACTAACAATTTCAGCTCTTTCATGCAGGACTAACTACCTTAATCTTACCTGTGTGCTTGCACCTGTGTGAGGACAATTTAGAAGTGCCAGCAAAATACACTGCAAGGATTCTATCTTAAGTCTCCCAGTTTGCACTTAATTTGCTTTATCACATAGGGAAAGGAATTAAAGGCCTTCTCCACAGTTTAGGCAGCTTGCCAATACCTATTTTATAGCAATAAAATATGTACAAATTAAGGAATCTCATGTGGAAAATTCATTCAGCAGCCTCAAAAGCCAAATGAATGGTAATTACTTTGAACACAATGTGGTGGCAATCAAGCAAGATTGGATCATGCTTTTAAATGTATGTCTAAATTTTTAAGAACTAAGATAATTATGAATTATGAAAATAACTCAGACAATGCAACAGCAAAGCTGCTGCCTGTGAAACAAGAGGCACATTCTTCGAGGAGTAGAGAGGGAGTCATTTCAGCACCTGCATGGGAATAATCAGACATAGTTACTGAGTGCTGGACTGATCCTTTTTGTTTCTTCTAGCTATCATTTGACACTTGAGGGGGACTTGAAGTGTCAAAAACAGGGAAGCCTTTATATAATATTTACAAATAAGAGCCTATCCTAGCTACAAGAAGCACTGGTAATTCTTTTCAGTTCTTATTCACATGTGCCAATGTAAAATTAATGGATCACAAGCTAAATATGAGTCAACTGTAAAATGGTTGCAAAAAAAAAAAAGCAGCAAACATCGTTCTGGGATGGATTACCAGGGGTGTTGTAAGCAAGACATGAGAAGTAATTCTTCCACTCTACTCTGCGCTGATTAGGCCTCCACTGGAGTATTGTGTCCAGGGCTGGGTGCCACATTTCAGGAAAGATGTAGACAAATTAGAGAGTCCAGAGAACAACAACAAAAAATGATTAAAGGTCTAGAAAACATGACCTATGAGGGAAGATTTAAAAAATTGGGATTGTTTAGTCTGGAGAAGAGAAGCCTGAGAGGGGACATACCTTTTCAAGTACATAAAAGGTGGTTACAAGGAGGAGGGAGAAAAATTGTTCTCATTAACCTCCGAGGATAGGACAAGAAGCAATGGGCTTAAATTGCAACAAGGGCAATTGAGGTTGGACATTAGGAAAAACTTTCTAACAGTCAGCACTGGAATAAATGGCCTAGAAAGGTTGTGGAATCTCCATCATTGGAGGTTTTTAAGAGCAGGTTAGACAAACACCTGTCAGGGATGGCCTAGTCCTAGTCCTGCCATGAGTGCAGGGGAATGGACTTGATGACCTCTCGAGGTCCCTTCCAGTCCTATGATTCTATACCATCTTAGTCCTCTGTTGCTTTTATTGAAACTAAGCTAAATACTCATCTATCCACACATCACTGAGTGAAAACATACAAATGGGTTCATTTTTCAAGGGTAAAGCTTGAACAGCTTTGAAGCAATATAAACTTTTACTCTTCATACGATGGGCAAATATTACTATATTTGCTCTT